CGGAAGAGAGCGACTCTTTTATGGAGCTCTTCCCCGAACGCATCATTTACATAGAGGGCGGACGCACTGCCAGCGGCTTCTTCACTGTGGAGGAAGTGGAAGTGGCCAATAGGATGTATAGACTGCACGAACTCTCCAATAGGCAACTCTTCATGGAAACAGTTTTGTTGGAGTGTTCGTCATTAGATCCGCGGTATATATTTCTCGTGGATTCCGGATATAAGATATATATCTGGAATGGATTGAAGTCGAAGAATACGATGAAACAAAAGGCGCGACTATTGGCCGAAAAGATCAATAATGACGAGCGAAAGAACAAAACGGAACTTATTTTCTGCACTCAGGCCTCAGAACCGCCCGAGTTTTGGACGGATTTGAATTCCGGGAAACCGCTCGAAGAGCTGCCGGATATTGTAGAACACGTTAACGCCGACGCTTTCAAACCATACGATCCCATACTGTATAGAGTGGACCTCGGAATGGGTTATCTAGAGTTACCACAAGTCGAGTATAAGCCAAAAACATTGACCCGAAAACATTTTGATACCAAAAATGTTTATATTATGGACTGTCGTTCCGATGTCTTTGTTTGGTAATTATTGATCATTTAATAGTTTTTAGTGTTATTTATCGGAATCTTTATTATGGTTCATAGGATCGGAAGAAAGTCCGCCCGTTTAGTGAGAGCCGCGGCCCTGAAGTTAGCGCAAGAATTATTTTCAATGGTCAGCCGCGCGGAGTTCGCTGTTGTTGTTCGTTGTCTCGAAGGGTAACCTTATATGAAGTGTTGATTTATGTATCGATTGTTAATCCCTTTTCTCTATTAATCTGCATTTGAATAGCACTGAAACGCAAACATTTAAATCGAAATTCATCAGTTGGGATAACGTGGTTGGAGTGGACTTCACTCGAACGGCAGAGTCCGTACAGAAAACGGGCGCCGATCTGACCAAATGGGTGTCAAGCCATCAAATGAAGATCGATTTGTCGGCACTGTTTATGCCACGACAGCCGTCGATGTCTAAAACAGAAGCCAATCAATTGACTGAAGAGTGGAACGAAGATCTCGAGGCGATGGAAGCCTTTGTATTGGAGGGCAAGAAGTTTGTGAAACTACCGGAACAAGAATTTGGTCACTTTTATAGCGGCAATTGTTATGTGTTTTTGTGTCGCTATTGGGTTCCACTCGAGTCGGAGAACACGTCCAACGAAGACAACGACGAAGACGTTGAGGACGACTTCCATTGCGTGGTATACTTCTGGCAGGGAAGGGACGCCTCCAACATGGGTTGGCTCACCTTTACGTTCAGTTTGCAGAAGAAGTTTGAGTCCATGTTTGCCGACAAACTGGAAGTGACGAAAACACATCAACAACAGGAGA